CATTACCTATATAAGGTGCTTATATACAGTACCAGGATAAAGGGTGCATTGACATAGGTGGAGAATGTCACAAGATAAATAGTGCCAAGGCAATTGAGTAGGGTATAAAAGACTGGAACAAGCAATAAAAAATCAGACTGATGCTTAGATTGGCAAAGGAAGAAACCCTGGAAGTCAAGTAATAGCTATAAGTGTGAGAGGAAGTAAGTATTATTAGAAATACATTTTTGATTTAAGAAAATGTTAACTTCCACGTTCATTTCCATTACTGTATTTTTAAAGATATAGGTTTATGAGATTCATATATTTTCTGAATTTGAGCTTTCATTCGTATAGATGTTTTAATGTCAAAAACTATAAATATTTTCTTTGTTTTATGTTCTTTTTTTAATTTTACCCTTGTTTAATTATGACTAACTTTATAACTAATCTTGATTTTTTTTGCAGAAATTAATTAATGAATATGGCAGTGAATTTATTAAAATGCCTGAAATGTTGTAAGCTTTAGTTTAGATATCTTGTATGTACACTCATCATTCTATTTTCTAATGAAGATGTTTAAAGAATGTAATAAAGGTTCAAAATTGAAAATATGAACTGTTCTATAGATTTTTTTTAGTGTTACTTGAAAGCTTATTTCAAAATTGTCCTGTTTATTATCTTTCCAGATTCTTGTAAGTGTTGGTCTTATGATTTGTATTGTCCGAAAAGCGCGACGAGAGCTAAAAAGAACAGTGGAAAAGGAATTTCAGACAAAAACTAAGAAGGCATCTGAAACTAGTGCTTATATTGAATTGTAAAATAATCCTGAGGGTGTATTGAAGGTTGTGTGTTTTTAGTAAGATAATTTAATGTTATGTGGGTTACTCTCAAATGTGCATAAAAATTAGATTAAGCTAATTGAAAATGACACTTAAAAAATGCAGCAAATAAAACATTTTGATTTTTAACTTTTAAAAATGTTAGTTTAAATACATCATAATTTGTTAATAGAATTACGTGTTCTAATCCACTTATATTTTCCATTTCTCTGTAGTAAACTATGAATAATGTCACTTATTAACCCTCATTTTACCAACTTGTTTGTATACTGTTTACTACCTTTAGGGTCCTATATTATATCATATTAATTTTATGGTTTTGCATGTTAAAACACTCAATGTAAAGAATTTGCCAAAAAATATGGGATAAATGATTTTTTGTGTAAAATGAATAAACAGGGCCCCTAGCAGTAATTAGTGGAACTAATTGTAATTTTGGTAGCATTTTTTGTGTGGCACGTATGCTGTCAATAAATTCATGGACCCGTGAGCATTTTGGTTCATACATATTTTACAATAATATGTTTAAAAATCCAATGATGTCCATAGGAACCCAATCAGTAATCTTAGGTTTAAGTATCACAGTTACGATCTTGGTTGTTAGTTTCTTGATCTCATTTCACTTAATCCATTTTCAGTAAATACTACAAACTCTTTTCTCATGTTTCAGTATTTTATATATATATATTTGCTATAATAATGTAAACAATTTTTTTTTTGCTCGTGCTGTTACCTTCATTTGTGCAAGTAGATAACTTGACCTTTGATCTTACTGTTACAGATAAATGGTTTGTTCTGGTCAGTTTTCTACCTGACAAAAACTTGTATTTTTATAAACTTCACTGCTTCTACAAAATGTTGGTTTTACAAATAATTTTTTTTTTTTTTTACAAATTTCAGCATAACAATAAATCCATATTCATTAAATCAAACACTTGTGCCTTAAGTAACAAAACTTTTATAACTGGTTAAAAAGGTACATTTTTGTTGTTATTAAGAAAGAAATGGACAAATTGTATTATTATCAAGAAATGACAATATAGTGTATTGTCTGATGTAAAGATTATAACACAGGTTGCATTTTAGTTTTTGATGTATATTTTTGTTAGCCAGTAAGTTATACAGTAAGTTTGAGCAAAAGCTGAGTTATTCAGCTGCTGTTTTGAGGTGTTAATATAATGTTCAAATTTTGTGTCAATCTAATAAATAAATAATTTATGGTGCTACTGGGTCATCCTTATATGTGTGTGTTTGATTTAATGATAAATGTTTTAATAGGTTTGTTTTTCGTTATATATAGAGGTTGAGTACCTTATATTAAAACAATGTTGAATTTTCAAATCAGCTAATTATGTTACAACCACAGATGAAGTCATGGTTAAAAGGCATATATGTATCAAAACTACATTTTGACATTGTTTTGCATTTTCTAGGCAATGTGATGCTATTAAGAATTGATCACTTTTGGGAATGTTGTGTAACAGTCCTTTTCAGCCTAAAATATTCATACATTTAGATCATAAAGATGCATTCAGATTGGCTCCTTAAAATTTTCAAGATGCCTCACATTTAATTGCATTGAAAAATAAAGGAATGTGGATTAACTTGGCACCAAGATGTACCCAAACCTTAGTAAGCAAAATGTGACATTTTATAACAAGTGAAAATCCAGTCAATGGCAAGAACCATCCACATGCCCAGGCAACAGTGCACAAGATAATCATGAAGGATCTCCATCTGGAAATGATGCTAACAGTGTATTGGTAAAAGTTTTCAGTTATATCTCCATTCAACCATTGCATACCTCAAGCAGCTGGAGAATGAAACTGATATTTATACTATTCCATAAAAGATATACCAGTCAAGTCGCCAGATGCAGCTTCTTATTGATTTACATTTGATAAGGATTGTTGAAATGACTGCTAAGAAACCATCATTCTCGTATAGTAGTGGATTGTCGAAACCTGGAGGAATGGTGTGCTTTGGAAGCTTTTTGACAGAGCCTTTTTCAGTGAAAATTACACTTCAGTGCTATTGACAAGATTTATGATCATCAGATAAAGCATGACCTGACATGGACTGTAATGATGTGGTGAGGCTTTAAAATCACTTTAATATAGTGTACTCAACCTTTTGTAGGTTTATTTAGAAAAAAAAGAAGTTAGGTCTGATTATAGACATGTAGAAAGAAGTTCAGTAAAAGTCTTTAAGGTAATGGATAAGTAGTTTGACTAATTTGTTATTTGAATTAACTTTAAAAGGAAATCAATGTTTTATTATTTATTTAAAATATTGACAAAAGGATTTTTACAATTTTTTGAAATATTTTTTTTATGAAAAGTTCATTTTATTGGAATTTTGAAAGCTATTCTAATTTAGTGATATTTCTTTTATATTATTTTAATGTATTCATAGCTGGAGGGAATTTTAAAATAAAATGGAGCATCCTACTATATTTACACAAATGACATTAATTTTTGGGGGGGAAGTTATAATTTTTTTTAAATAATGCATCTTACAGTGTATAATATTGTAGTAGCACCAGTTTCTGCTGTTTTATACAACTTCATAAAACATTGATAATTTTAGCTTAGTTTGTAGAATCTAATGCAAGTAAATATATTTATATCCAGTTGTTTTTTTGTGGTATATTATTTACATTGACAGTTTCTTTTTCACCAAACACATTTAAAATGTTTTGTGTGCCAATTGGCATACACATCATTTTTAAATATTAAGACAGCTGAATGTGACACTGCATATTACATTGTTGTAGAATTTGTTTGAGTGTAACAGTATCTGTTGTGTAAAATTAGGCAGAGTGATACTTAAATCTCATTTTGATACTGTCTTACCTCCTCTAAAAAAGCTATCTCAGTATTTTTCAGCCCCCTCCCCTAAGCATTGTTTAAAATTTTAATGCTCAGTGCACCAGTCTAAATACCCAAAAGAAACTGTGCCACTTTTGAATATGTATATAACATGTGACCTCTCTCAACCTAAAGTATTGTGCCACCTGTATTTTCCCCTGAAGATCATTTGGCTTTCACACCCATTTCTTTGTCTTCCATCTCCCACCTGTACTCCCATTCTGATCCTGATTGGCTTCTTTGTCAAGTTTGCTCCATAATGTATTATATTGCACATACTGCCTCCTTTCAGGGTTCACATTTCCAACCTTTTATTCCCTGGAATCCTTATGTTTTCTCTGATCTGTCTCCTGTCACACTAACTGGTTGGGTTCATCAACTCCTTAGGCTGGCATATTCAGACTTATCGATGTAAAGTCTCTATCTCTTCAACATTTCTTCTTATCATATTTGTCGTATCACCATGCCTTAGGCTGCTTGTCTTCACTGTTTGTTTGTGTAAATTGTTCAGGCTAGAATGTGGACTACTCCCTATTCCTTTGTTGTTCATTATCTGCACTATCTGGCTGTATTTTCTCTGGTGGATATCATCTCACTCTAAGGCAATTCTTCTCGTCTGTTCACGTTTAACTTGGATATGTCTTTTCACAACATTTCATTTATGTTTTATTTTCAGGTACTCTCTCTTACTGCTACTGATAGGATCCCATTCTGTGGTGTGTTTTGCCTGGTCAGATGTGCTTTCACTCACACCAGCACTATTTACCAGTGGAGCTGTAATGCTCACTGTAGAGATAGGGTGTTTCTCAAGACCACCGGTGGCATGCCTAGTGGTATATACTTGTATATCTCTTGGTGTCTGTAAATTTAACTCAATGGTGGATTGACACTCATGGACTATCATGAGTAAAGTAAAAGGGGATTTCTGCCCATCCCTGCTGACCCTTTGATTGTATAAATCGAGGATGGTCTGCTTTTCAGAATAGGGAATTGTGGACACCCATTGCACATTCTCCAGTGTGACGTTCCTTCAGACCCCCCACTGCATTTTCTCTCTTTTTTTTTCTCCAAGTGTGGCATGGGAGTCCTTACCACATACCAGTTCCTAGTCACTGGAGTGGTGGACCAAGGAGACTTCCTCCTGAGTGTTAAGTTGAAATTTACCTTACAATACAACAACACTTTATCCACTCAGTGAGAAGAAGGCAAAGCTGGGTTCCCTCCTTCCCTTTACTTTGGATGCTTATTCCCAGTTGAATGTCAGATGAAGCAGGACCAACCTATGTGGAATCTACCTTGTAATACTGGGTTCAGGATGACATCACACTGTTCCTGCGGTTGAATGCATTAGAGGTCCCCTTCTTGTTAATTGTAATTGAAGGAGGTTTCCTTCCTTGCTGCTATGGTTGAGTTTTGGGGATTTTTGCTTTTAATACCAGTTACAGGTTTTGCCCTATTTTTACAGTTGAGATGAAGCAATGATATGACTCTGTAATGCTGGGTTCAGTTTGTTGTACTTCTTGCTCCTATTTTGGTTTTGGTAGTTTGTCTGGTTTTGACCGAATGCTAACTTCCTCTTTAATTCTGGTTGCTTGACATATGACACTCTGTTTACTTACTGTTGGGGTTAGTGTGTATATGTCACACAGTCCACATGCCCTAGCCACAATGTTTATCTTACTCTAATTTCATTTTTATGTGGGTTTTTCTCAACCTCCTAATGCTGAGGATGGATTGTGGAACTTTGTCTGTCTGGTTGAGACTGGGTAGATACCTAGCCATTATTCTATTTCGGCAAACTGTTCTTTTACTTTCTGTTTCACCTTGTGAATATAAAGTTCTCACAATGTTGTTTCATAAAGCAGCTCTTTAAGTACAGGAGCTGGCTGTTTTCTGGTCTGGTTTGTGAGATGGAGGACAATTTGAACTTACACCATTTTTTACTACGGATTACACCTCTAAGAAAATATTAAGTTTGTGCACATCCTTTTTTCCGATCATGTCAGGTTCATTTCCTCCTTATGGGGTGAAGAGCATACTTATTCCAGAAGTAGTACTGTGCCCTGCATGTATGCTTTGGTTTTGTATCTGAGCACAGTTATTTCTAGGCAGTTGCTTTCCACTTAGTTTTACTGTTAGGCACCTACACTGGCCCCTCCACCTTTTCAGTGTGGGATTCTAGCATTGTGTGAGTAGAAGTAAGACTGTATCAGAAGTTAACATTTTCTTGCACTGAATCAGAGACAGCTTGTTGTACTAATATTATTGGTGGAGGGTGGTCACATGCTATATATATGTTCAAAAGTGGCATGACATTTGTGGGGTATATAGAATGGTGTGCTTAGCATTACAATTTTTTAGCAATACTTAGGGGCAGAAAAAAGATCAAGATAGCTTAGAGATAAGTACCTATTGGAAATGCATTTTCAGTGTAAAAAAAAAGTTAACTTTTGTACAGTAAGTGGTGATTGTTCTCTTAAGATTTTTTGGCATTTTTTTTCTTCGAAGTTTGAATTGGTGAGAAATACATTTCAAATGTTTTTATAATGAAATATTTTTTAACCTGAAAAACTAAGTTATACTGAACTCTTAAAATAAGCTCCTCTCCACTCTATGATCTTGACAGAAATGATATATTAAGTGACACTATACTTATTGCATCCTGTTTTATAAAAGCATAGTTGTTTTCTGTTTTCCTTACTTTGATAAAAATTCCAAGGTCAAAACTACAAACTGACCATACATTTCTTTATAATTGTGGTCCCTCGCATATTTAAAAAAGTAAAATTCCATTAGCTACTGATTTGTATTTGTGGAATTTAGATATGTGAATCTGGTGGTTCTGTATTTTATGTAAACAGAAGATATATTTTAATTTTTGAATTGTTGTGTGAACCTTCTTACAAACTGAAAGGAAAGTTAGTAACAAACTTGGCACTTTCTTAAACATTTATTTGACAGGTGGTGCTGCCATCAATACTTTTGTTTCCCTAGATATTTCTTCCCGTTTTCTTAAAAATAATAAATAAAAAAAAAGTTGTCTGATCTTATACATGTACATGTATTGCATTAGGTTTAGCATTATGAGTTATTATGTATTTAGCCTAAATCTTCCAGAATAAGTTGTGGATTCTTAATGCAAAGACATCAAATATTTAGTACACTTTTGATGTTTGTACACAGAAGTAGAATCAAGTTATAATGAAAACTGTTAACATTTATTACTACAGAATTAACTTAGATATATAGTGAAATTTGTGTGTTCTGTTACAATATAAGTTATTTATGATTACAAAATCATTTTTGTAGAGATTTTACTATCTGCTATGTGAGAAAGTACAGTTTTACTTTAATACATTTTATTTTACTGTATTGATTTACATTCCATGAGATCGCAGTTTTATTGTGTGTTCAGTCTCAGTGAACAGCCATATATATTTATTTTTACAATTATATTTTGTATATTTGTGCTTTACATTAGGATCATTATTAGTTAGTGCAATAAGATATAAATCCGTCATTCCAAATACAAGTGTAAGATTGAAAATTATCTAAAATTTTCTTGAAAATATTTCAGCAACTTCTTAAGTTAGATTATGAATTTTTTGTTATAAAACAATGTAATGAAAGATAATCTGAGAATAAAATCTGAAACACGTGCATTTTGTAATTAAATGTTTTTGTCCTCAGACCTATTAATAAAAGCTAATGTTTTGATAGAGTTATGGGATTATATTGTGATGAACTACAACTTTCAAAGACAATTAAAATGGGCAATTTGATTAAGAAAGTACCAAACAGTCATGCCCAGAATAACTTATTTGTGCCTCAGCATAGGCAGTTTATTTGTTGCAAAAGAACAGGTATATATTATTTATTCAAAGGTCTAAATATTTGTAAAAAATAAAAATGCTAAGAGGCCAGCTTGAAATATCTGGTAAAGATACATGTAAGCTGAAGAAAAACCAGATAACTTGGTGTTAAATATAACAGATATTATCAGACAAAACTTAACTTTCTGGTGAAGTTCAAGTAAAATTATGTTGTAAAAATGTATCATATATTGTAATCCAAATAACATTGTTTTGTTTGAAGTATACATCATATTTTGTGGAAACCAAGTAATGTTGTCTGATGACAACAAGCAGTTCTTTCTAATAAAAGACAGAAAAGAGGTCTTGGCCAGATATAAAGGTTTATTAGAGTATTATAAGTTATTCAGTGAAACTGGGATAAATTATTTTGTAGATTTTATTAAGTTGTATAATGAGCCAAATAATTATATAATGAAAGCCTGAAAAAATAAAATGGTAAAGCCCATATGCAAATATTAATTTTATGATTAATGTAGGTCTTCTATCTTAGGTGCTTTACAGTGTGATAAAAAACTTGTTTATGTACAGGGTGTTTCAAAAGTCATGAATAAGTTAATAATCTATTGGTTAATAAGTAGTATATACTGTATTTTGCAGTCTATGTTGCAGATCTGAACAAATATCACAATAAAGTAGCCATGAACACTTATATTTGTGTTGGATACCTTTTTTACTTGCATAAAAGTTCTCATTCATTCTTGTCTTTATGCATTTCTTGTATATTCATTTAATTCAAGAAGAACAGTAACACAAGTAGTGAAAGAATGTTTTACAATGTGAAACTTTGTGTACTTGACTTGTACTGATTATTTTTAATATGCTTAAAAAAGTATAGAATTGTTTGAGAAGTTTTCTGTTTCATGTGAAATGCTTCTAAGTTAGGAATATTGGTGTAGGAAAATTTTCACTGCAAAATACAGCCAGTATGTAATCTTTAACCCAAAATACTTTTTTGCAAACTAATACATTTAAAAACAGTGAAGTTATAAGTAAAAAAATATTTTGAAGAAAATGTTTTTGTTTTTTCAGGAGGGAGGGAAGTATCATGCAGGTCACCACAGTATAGTGTGGGGTCTAGGGCAAACCTATGATATGCTCCCCTTCATTATGTGGAACCCATAATGTATGAACTGTTTGTGCCCTATTTTCATTTGATAATTTAAACTTTCTTTCCTTAGCTAGTGATAGTCTAATATGTTTAATATATTTTTACCCCAAAACAGATCTTTCTTTCTTATTTTACATATGTAATAAATATGAACCTTCTAATATATTTTGTATATTTTTGCCTCCAAGAAAAGGAAGGTCTCTGGTTTCTTATATTGTGTGGTAAAGAGGCCCCCTGAAATATGTTTCATTCTTGTTAGAGAGATCCCCTAATGTATTTTATATTTTTGTCCCTGTTGTATGTTTTTTTCCATGTCAAGAGAAGGGGAACTACACTTTTGCTGGGCCCAAAACAATTTGCCCTCTCTTCTCTTTTGTGGCAGCCCTAATCATATTTACCTTTAACAGAGTAAAAAAAATTATAAAATTATAGCACCATTACAACATGACATCTAATGTATGTACTTATTTAAAATGTAAAGAAGGTTTGTTTTGTGTGATAATTTTATTTTTGATTACTAAGCAAAAAAACTGCACAATGGGCTATTTGTGTTGTGCCTGACACATAGATTGAACTCAGAATTTTAAGCTTTATAAGTCCTCAAGCTTGTTGTTGAGTCACTTTGGGTATGTAATAATTATAATGTTTAAAAATTACTTACGTGTTGATAAAATAACTGTTTCTGTAAAGTTTGAATATTATTAATTTTAGTTCTTTTAAGTTTTCTTTGGGGTGCAAATTTTGTCATAAAAATGTTTGTTGTTTATGTACCTCTTGTATGAAAATAAAGCAATGAACCAGTTCAAATAATATTGGTAGCTTTTATTCTAATTATTTACTCAGTCTTAAAATTTTCTTGGAATAGGTGAATTTGGAAATTGATCAGTAAGTGATTTAGGTTATTGATACCTACTAGTTTTCCTTTTTAGTTAATATCAAAACATAATGATAAGCAACACTTTTTTTATTGCAATAGATATAGTAATATGAAAAAGGTGTTTTAGCTGTGGTTAGAATTACTTGTCCAATTTGGTTTTTATGCATGATTGAAGCATATTACAGGTACTGGAAAATGTCATTTTTGTTACCCTAAATTCAAACATTTCTAATGATGTGCCTTCATTTATTTTCAGGTGTATTTGACTTAACAGGCAAAAAAAAGCTTGATTCAATTTTCTGTTTGTTTAACAAAAATAGTTTTCCTGTAATCAGACAAAATGACTGACCACATTCCTAATGAGAATCACATTTGACATTACATGCTCTATGAGTTCCATAAAGGTAACAAGGCAACCAAAAACATTTATGGGTTCATAAAGATGCTTTGCGTGTCTACAAATGCCAGTGGTGGTTCAAAACATTTAGATGATTTTGATCTCTCAGATTTCCATCATTCAGGGAGACCTGTAGAGTTGGACAATGACCTCCTGAGGTCAGAGGTTGAGTCGGATCCATCCAGTAGTTGTCAGAAAAACTTAATTCTTCTTGGTCTAACATTCAAGAACATCTTAAACAGATTGGGAAGGTCAATAGACAAAGAGTTTGGGTTTCACACATTTCATTAGCATAAATGCTAGTAATTTCATACTTTCAAAAAATGGAACAGAAAGGTGCGAATCCATATTTTCATATTTGTTTTTCAAGAATGAGTTGTGATTATTTTTCTATGCCATTATTTTATAGTTTCTTTCTTTCTTAAGAAAAACCCCCCAGTGGCACAGCAGTATGTCTGTGGACTTACAACGCTAGAAACCGGGTTTCGATACCCGTGGTGGGCAGAGCACAGATAGCCCATTGTGTAGCTTTCTGCATAAATACAAACAAACAATTCACACAAACTATCAGATGACAACAAAGCCCAGTGCATAAGAATTTGCAATTCACTGAAAAAGAGACATAAGAAAGAACCATTTCTTCATTGAATTGTTCCCGTCAACACCAGTTGCAAGAATCAGTGGCTTAGCCCTGGCCTGCACCCAATTTCGGTAGCCAAACCAGGTCTTACACCTACAGAAAGTCTTGTTATTCGTTTGGTGGAACAGAGCCAGCACTTGGTCTGGGAACAACTGCGGCCCAATTTTTACCGTATTTTGCATTCCATTACTGCACAAAAATTGTGCTACACACATTGGGGCCATGGGTGCATTTTAAATAAATCCTACTATCCCGTTTGACAAGGGTTTGCAGTAGATGGTGTTGACTAGCTGCCCTCTCTCTGTCACCTCAAAATTAGGTATGGCTTGTGCAAATAGCACTCGAGTACTTTTGTGATAAATTCAACAAACAAAAATTTATTCTGATTAAAGTCACAAACCTAAAAGTTATACTTATCACCTAATCCTTGTTGGAATTGTAGTGGCCCTTGTAAGTCTTCTCCAACTGTCCCAATTCTCTAATCTTATAGCTTCCAACATTCTCAGTTATCTTCTTATCCCAACACTCCAACTTATAGTTGGTCTTCCCCTTTTTCTGTTTCTCCCAACTCTTCCACGACATATTTCTACAAGCAGGTTCTGCCTCTTTTCATGGTGTGATCAGAATATAATAGTTTCTCCTAAGTGATATCTTCCAACAATGTTCTTTCACATTAAAATTTTTCTGGCACCCATTTTTTTCATTTTTGTCTCAGTTTATGATATTCTCAGCTCTATTATATAGCATCAAAATTCAAAACTTACTATATTTTTCTCTTTCTATCTTCTTTTAAAAAAATAACTGATGAAATTGGTAATTCCCAAACTTTCCAAACATTTATCATCTTGACCATGCTCTTTCTTGCCATTGTTATTAAACTTTTTATTTCTACAGAACAATCTCTCTTAATGTTAGTTGTAGGTCCAAAATGTTTGAATTCTCTACTTCCTTGATTTCTTCCCTGTTCATCTGTATCTTTCCCATGCTAACTTAATTCATCACCATAACTTTTGTTTTTCTTTACTTTTGGCATTTTCATTCACTCTTTGAGTCAGGGATCATACGTGTTCCTTTTCTCACAAAACAGCTACTTAGCTTTCCATTGAAATGAAGTTACACAGTGAGTGAAGTGGAAGTAGTTGGAATTAGCTTTACAATAAAGATTTATTTTCTTGCACTGTTTCAGAGAACGAATATATGGCTGTCAAAACGTATGATATTAATAGCTGATGATTGCAAAGTATCTGAATTGAACTCAGCAACATGAATTTGCTGAATGAGTATGCCAATGGGATCAGATAGGCATTTGAGCTCGACAACACTAAGTCGCGACCACATAGATATAAGTGACATGTCCAAAGAAAAAAGGAATCTGCCACTCAGGCTTTCCTGGAGCAATAGGAATTAGTCCAGTGCTAACACACAGTGAATATTGAAGGATAAATCATACAGTGCCTTCCAAAAGTGCTTGGCCATTTCTGCTGGTGATTTTCAGAAGGAAGGAGGGTACACCTATGTTCTGTGTATGAGTGAATGTGATGACCCACATTAATGCCTACCACAGACAGATGAATATCTGGATGCATTGAAATGTGTGTATTGGTTCAGCAATTTGAACTTGGCTAATAGATATTAGCATTCTAGATGGTCTATATGAATTTTGAATCATGTAATCCAGCCTGGGTAATGTGCCTGTCACTTTCAAGTGACTGATGGAGCTTACACTGAGAGGAATGCAATGCAATGAAAGAGATGATTGATCTCATGGTCTGTATCAACAACATCTTGAGATTGGGACTCACATTTCACTTTGCTGCCAAAAACCTGCATGGTTCTAGTGAATAAGAAAGATAGGCTTGGAACTGAAGCTAGAAAAGCATGTGTTTTTTGTCACATTGTGGGTAGGGGAGTATCACTGGACTCTGCAAAGACCACAAATGTCAAAGATTATCCTCAACCAGTGATGAAACGAAATAGTTGCTGATTTCTAGGTTTTATATTATATTAATGACAATTGGTGGCCAATTGTTTAAATATTGATGCACCATTACTCTAAAGCTAAAACATATTTTAGATGGGCTGAGGACTGTGAGCATGCATTTATGTCACTAAAATGCTTTAATAGAACCTTTCATGTTAGCATACCCAAAACAAGTTCGTCCATTTCTGATGGATACTTATGCCATGATAGTGGAATTCGAGTAAAATTTTCAAAATTGCAGGGCATCATAGAATATGTGATTACATGAACTGATGATTCCTGAATTTAGATACTGCATGACAAAGAACTGCTTGCAGTTGTATTATTTCTTAATTACTAACAGTGCTTGTTTGGTAGGAAGTCCATCATCCATTTGAACTATGCATTAATGAAATGGTTTATGAACTATAGAAATTGAATTAGTTATTGCACTTGGATACAATGTTTCATAAGTATGACTTCGTTGTACATAATTAACTTGCACAACATGGCATTACCAATGGTGTGTCTACAAGTATGATAACTTGTCCATGTATTAAATTTCCCAATACTGGACATCATGCAGGAGTAAAAAACCAGTGTAGTAGAATAGTTATAAAATTGTACTATGTGTGATGATTCCACTGGTGGATGTATACCATGAATGACACTTCAGGAGCTCTGAAAAAAAACAACTGAAGGATCTAGATCTAACTTGGCTGTACTTTTCACACAAAAGGGAAACAACCACTACAGATTGAAGAATGTAGCTTAAATAAATGTAACCTTTGTCAGTTTTAACATCAGTTACAAATGCAGCAAGGTGTAATATCCTGTTACAAACCACAGAGATTTGGTTCTCAATCTATTCTGCAGCTAATGGTCTCCAGAGCTCATATACTGAAGACCACCAGGATGTTACATGTACATGTGCTAACCAGTGATGGTGGGTTTTCTAGCCACATAAATACCAAGATTGAGTAATAGTACAAATACTATACTATGTGTGTTGCACAGAGGAACATCTGGCCATAACAAGGTAAACATGGTAAACAGTTGAGTATGATAGCTCTGAATATTGCTATTACTTTCCAGAATATTGAAAAAGTTAACTAGTATGTGCTGGTCATTATTGATTACTTCACCAAGTGGACCAAAGCTTATCCGTTGATTAGTAACGCTCACTAAACAATGGATAGCATGAATCAAGGCACCTGAAGAAATCCACGTGGACCAAGGGACTAATTTCAATAGCCAGTTTTTTTATGTGTTATGGTAAGGAGTTGAGTGTGGTAAAGTCACACTTTACTCACATCTCTAGCCAGATAATTGACAGAATGGGTAATTCAAACTACCAAACATGCTTGCAGAGTTTGTTAATCCTGACGAAACAGATTAGAACAATTACCTATGCCATACATCATAGTGACATATCATGCGACGAACAAAAGTCATGATCATGTCTTACCAAGAAATGCAGCTTTTTGTGGATGTGATGTATGATCTAACCTTAGAACAGAGGTGCTAATGTCTACAATGTGTAGATTATGTGAGACTTGCATTAGTTGATGCATGTGAATTTGTATATCATCAGTTTGGAAAGACTAGCATATGACATAAGAGATGCTATGATAAAGCAGTGAATGAATAAAGGTTGAAGTATGGAGACTGGAATTAATATGTGCCTCTAGCATTGAAGCAATTTGACTCTAGCTGTACTGGTCATGTTATCATCTGACAACTAAATCTATCAAACTACGAGTTGCAGCATTCATACAATGCATACACATACATTGAACATGTTGACTCACTAAAGCCATATGTCAGTGATGAACCTCTCGTGTACTGATCAGATCAAGAATTGGAGTTGGAAATGATGAGTTAAATGATAGTGAGCTAATTAGTTAGCTAATTAGGAGAAAGATACTGGAACTATTT